TTTACTTCTTAAAACCCCATTCACGCAACTGCTTATTGAAAGCATGGAGCCTTGTCTAGTTTGGCTCTGCCACGAGATCCGTTCCGAGGTCTTTTGGGTGCTGCAGAGCAAGGTTCTTTCATATCACTACCGAAACAAAATTATGTAACATCTGAACTCAAGCGAAAGTGCCCTGCAGATGTCAATGTGTGGTTATCAGCCCAGCTCATAAACGGCAAGCCCTGTGGGAGGTGGAGGTTGCTAACGAGATAAATGAGGTGGGAGCCCTTGAACTTTTGTGTCCAGCGAGGGTGCCAAATGCCGCCCCCTTTCTTGCAGCAGATAGCCAACCTGAAGGCCCAAGAATTCAAGGAGTTCTACATTTGCTTATGGGGTAGACCTCCCAGCTCCAAGGGCACCCCATCTTCTATGCACCTTAGCCAGTTTCTTTAACTGAATTTAAAATCCTATGTAGCTCAAGGAGGATGGGCATAAATGTAAATCAGACCCCTGACAATACCGGTCAGCAACAGAAGAATCCGTAGAGTTCCCTTACCTCAATCAGACCCGTATATACCGTATTTTTTGCTCTATAAGACGACGCACCTAGTTTTGGAGGAGGAAAACAAGAAAAATAATATTCTGAATCTCAGAAGCCACAACAACAAGAGGGATCGCTGTGCAACAAAAGCAGCGAATCCCTCCTTGCTGTTCATGACTTCTGGGTATAGCTGCCGGCAGCCTGCCATTCCACTCCATGACAGACGCACAACACATTTCCTCCCTAACTTTTTAGCGAGGCGAAAATAGTGAGTCTGTATAGTAGCAAAAATTACAGGTAAATAAAAACCACCGAAACTCGGCAAACTTTGCTCGCTGGCACCAGCCAGAATTGCCTATAGTTTTCGCAGCACTCTCACGTGCCTGCAGTCAGTCTCCTCTACCATTTCCTGCATTTACACAGTGCCTTCATCGTGTTGCAAGCCATGCAATGTAAGAGACCATGTAAGAAGACCTGTGGTCTCTGGTCTCCCTGACCAATCCCACCCCACATAACTTAGCAAAAAAGAACACTTAGATGTTGGGAAGGGGGGAGCATTCCCCACTGTAGTCCTTCGTTCAGGCGCTCCATGGTGTCTCCGCAGATTTGTGGTTGAAGACGGGAGACGACACATCCAATTCAATCCTTCTTCCTATTGATTTTTAATTGCATCTTTTATTGCATCTTTCATTTCTTGTATTGCATTTTACTGCGCTGGAATTTGAATGGTACGAAACACAATACATAAGAAATAAAAGAAGCAATAAAAATACAATTTAAAACCATACAGCATCTAGCTGCAATACAGGCGGAAAAACCATCAAATGGTTCACTAAGACCCTCAGTGATTTTCAAGCGGCCCAAAGGGCGAAAGTTCAGGAACCACTGACATTGTGGGGATTTCATATCCCAATATCTTTTTAATGTGACTTTTAATTCTCCACCAACCCACAGTGCTTTTACATTGTGTCTCTCCATTATAATTGCTCGTGGCAGCGTACAATGCAAAATAAACCAAGAGTACATTGGGGACAACCATACCAAAGTGTGGTGCTGATAGCACCAAGGTTGCAAGTTTTGATCTCTGTATGGGATAGCTGAATATTCCTGAAATTGCAGGGGGCTGGACTAGATGATCCTCAGGGTCCCTTCTAACTCCAATGAGCCTATGATCTATGGTCTGTGATCTATGGTCTACACCAAGAAACAAAGAAGCCAGCAAAACCAACCCAAAGGAGAAGGAATACGAGACTCGTAGAAAGTCTGGCCTCCATATGGTGTTGGACTACAATTCCCATCATGCCCTGGCCATTGGACATGTGGCTTGGAGCTGATGGGAATTGAAATAAAATAGCATCTGGGAAGCCACAGGTTTCCAGACACTTGGGCTTGAAGTTTGAAACAGCCCCATCGGTCTCCAGGTGTGCCAGTATTTCTGACCCTACAAATGGTCGCTCAATTAAAATGGGCTCCGGTTAAAAATCAGTTACAAACAAGAGGCGGGCATTGCAGGGGGGTGACCCTCGTGGTCCCTTCCAACTATACAATCCATTGATAATAATTTTGGACTCCCTGCTCCAAGCAGCCATTGGGAAGCAAGTAATTCTGATGGCAGGTACACGTGCTGGCACCTCACCCTGTATGGGGAAGATTTTGACTGCACGTAGTTCATTCATCAGCTGAGCTTTCCAGACGCAGCCGAAGCGGCCCCTTGCGCCCTTGATTCTCCAACAGCATGTCAAGGGTCTCTAAAGTCACAACCCAACGGGAGAAGGGCGGGTGACAGACCCGGTCCTTGCAATAACAGGATTGTGGGGGGATGATATATTTAATAAGAGAGCTAAGTTGGAGGTTATGGGGACGTTTTTTGTTTCAGGTATGACCCAAAATGTGGAGGTGTGAGCGTCTATCCGTGCCTTTTCCCCCTAACCCTCAATAATGCCTAGAAAATAGCAAACCCTGTGGGGCGATCTAAGTATACACACAATAATTATACATTCTTTATCCATCTTCTGAGAAAAATAACAAAACCTTGTGCAAAGCCACAGAAACTTGCAAACTACCCGGTCTAAGATGAACTTACCAATGTCTGATTTCAATAGAATTTTTCAAATGCTTAACTCAGTCTTTTGTTTTCTTTATCTTTTTAGGCAAGTTCATGAAGATACCAACAAAAGGTAAGTTCGGTGTTGTTCACAATACCGAGGAGATGCTAGTGAAGTTGTACTTGGACTGCCAGGCAAAACAGGTGCAAAATCGCCAGCACCCGTCTACAACTTCATTAACATCCATCTGCAACTTCACTAGCATCTCTCGGTATTGTGAACAACACCGAACTTACCTTTTGTTGGTATCTTCATGAACTTACCTAAAAAGATAAAGAAAAGGCTGAGTTAAGCATTTGAAAAATCTATTGAAATCAGACATTATAAGTTAATCTTAGACTGGGTAGTTGCAAAGTTTCTGTGGCTTTTGCACAAGGTTTTGCTTTTTCTCAGAAGATGGATAAAGAATGTATAATTATTTGGAAATTATTTGTGTGTAAACTTTTCCCTAATCCAGGTGGTTGAGGTATAGAACGAACTAAGGAACTAATGCTGGATTGCCAGAATGCCTCCCCCAGGATAAAATTAGAGGATTCCCAAGGATCCTACAGGCAGTCTTTTCAATTTCAAACGGGAGAAGCATCTCTTAGGTCTTCCAGCCTGGGCCTGGTGACATAAATGTAGGCGAGGGGCTCTCCTACTCCCAGGAAGCTTACTCAGACTTAAAGATAAAGGTAAAGGGACCCCTGACCGTTAGGTCCAGTCGTGGCCGACTCTGGGGGTTGCGCGCTCATCTCACTTTACTGGCCAAGGGAGCCGGCGTACAGCTTCCAGGTCATGTGGCCAGCATGACTAAGCCGTTTCTGGCGAACCAGAGCAGCACACGGAAACGCCGTTTACTTCTGCAGAGAGGTACCTATTTATCTACTTGCACTTTGAGGTGCTTTCAAACTGCTAGGTTGGCAGGAGCAAGGGACTGAGCAACGGGAGCTCACCCCATCGCGGGGATTCGAACTGCTGACCTTCTGATCAGGCCAAGTCCTAGGCTCTGTGGTTTAACCCACAGCGCCACCCGCATCCCCTACTCAGGACTTACTCAGAGGTAAATAGCGGTGTAAGGAAAGGCTTCAAGTAAAACAGAATTAGTGAACCCACTTCCTCAAGGTGGGGAGCAGGAAAGGCAGGTAAAATGGGCCACCACTTCTGTTTTACTCAGTGCCATTCCTTACATCGCTATTTACATTGAAGTTCGTTTCGCACGTTATGTAAAAGCAAACCCAAGTTTTGCCGCTGCGGGTACACTGAATGGGGGAGCTGCAGCCAATCTCAGCCCCATGGTGAATGTACACATGAGACATACTTGAAGATATCTGATTGTTTTCATGCCTACATTGATCACGTGGTTGTTTTATAAGAAGCTAAAAATGTAATTTGCCCAAGTCTCCAAACTATAAGGGCTCTACGAATACAAAGTCTGACCTTGGTAAGTTTTTATCACAATGCATTTGAAAAGGACTAATGTGCCTTAACGCTTAAATGTATCCATCTGTACACTTTCAATGCTAAGGAAATGGCACTGACTTGTTTCTCAACCTCAAAAGTCTGATTCAGTAAAGAAAACAATGAAAAGAAATAAAAGAAATATTTCCACCCACCACCCCTTCCCAGCGTTTCAGTTGACTGATCATGCATTATCCTAACTAAAAGTGTTAATTCAACAGGAAAATTAGGCCAATGCAAACTCAAGCAACTTTTCACCCAACGGTCACAGAACTTTTTAAAAAGTAATATTCTGTATGAGATACCCAGGGTTGTTTTGCGGCGACTATGACACTTTTTCTTGACCATACCTAAACTGCGCCTGCCTTCCCCAATTACGTTTGAAACAGAATACAGGGAGCCATTTTGTTTTTGTGTGGTTATTTTAAGAAAACAGCAACACAGAACAACTGGGTGGAAAGGTCTGTTTAATCCATCATCTAGCCAAGTAGTAGCCAGTTAAGACACCTCTGGGAAGCTCACAAACAGTGCTCAAAGGGACACTTTCCTTCTCTTGTTTCTCCCCAGCGCTGGTCCTCAGGAGGTAAACAGCCTGTATTCATGGGACTGCACTAAGTTAAAGGCGCTTTGCAGCATACTTACTGCACGGTCAAAACATTGCTGCGCAAACGGAAAGGCAGGTACTTATGCAACAGGTTGCACAACAGCAACCAGCTGTTGCACGAGGGGGAAAGAAAACCACGTGGCTGAAGACTGTCGCGCCACAGATTCCACAGCAAGAACCGGCTATTGCGCGAGGAGAATCAGCTGCGTCTCCCCTGTTTATCTGCCCAGCTCTCCCTTTCTAAATCCCGTTTGCAGAAGCGGTTTCTGCAAATGCATAACCGCCTGAAACCACCCTTAGGTTTCCCAGGTGCCCCTTGCTTCTCGCCTACCTCACTGATGTCGACGTGCCCGTAGGGGGGCTTGCGGTGCCGGTACATCCAGAAGGCAAGGAGAATGGCGATGGAGAGGGCAATGATGGGGAGCAGAGAGTAAACCAGAATGTTGAGCAGCGAGAGGCTTGGCGGCGGAGGCTCATAGACCACTGCAGGAAGAGGAGGGAAGGAACAGTAAGGATCCCAGACAGGGTAAGAATTGTCTTGCCGCTTAAGACGAAATGACCGTTCGCTCCAGCATCCCAAGGCAGAATTCCATCACCCTGGTTGGATTTTGGTTCTTAATTTATTTTAATCTGTTTATTGCATTTATACCCCCAAAACAACCCTGTGAGGTTGGCCAGGCTGAGAGACAGTGGCTGCCTCCACGGTGACATATGGCTGAGTGGGGATTTGAGTTTATACAGAATGTAATAGGCTATTAATATCTGCATGCATTAATAGGATAATAACACTATATCAATTTATATAAGACTGTATAGGAGTTTATTACATTGCATTTTTGTTTATGCACCTCTTTGTTCTCTGTTTTCCCTCACACACCCACACCCCGTTCTGCCCTCACAGGGGTCAGTTATTAAGTGATAGCAAATCTGCCTATTAGTATTAGGTTGAAGGAATAACAATGCTGCCCCTTTAAGAAAAGATAGTGCCTTTTCCCCCTTTTGAGACCCCAAGGCAGGTTGGGAAATGTAGGCACAGCAATAGTCTACTTTTAATTGGCTCTGCCAGAGAGCAGAGCCTATTGGCTTTGGCCAGAGCCGGAAGAAGCCTCCCTTTCTCCTTTGTAATCTAGTGACAGCCTAGTTATGGCAAAGTCCAAGAAGAAGGGCAAACTCACTTTGTCCTTACAGAGCTCCACAGAAAACTTCATTCAGAGCCATTGGAATGCAAGCAATATTTCTACATGTGCCTCGATTATCTTCAATAAATCTATGTATGAGAGCTTTGTCGAGTTTTGTTAATACTATCCACAAAGAGAGAGAAATCTCCAGACAGAACAGTAAGGACAAATGAATGATGCGCTCTCTTTCTCTCTAACAAGAATTTGCAACTGAAAGTGGTTTACAAATCAGCCTTCTCCTTGTGCATGTGAAACCAGCCCTGTTAGTCTCCCAGAGCAATTTACAAATGCAAACAAGGTTCTCAAAGTATCAGCCTGCAAGCTCGCTAGCCCTGGAATTCTCCCTGCCTACCCTCTGCATTGAAGAAACGTGCATCCTGCTTTTCCTAGCAACTCTGCAAACTTATGCAACTCAGTAACTCTCCTCACCCAGCAAGCGTTCTCCACTGCAATTCCATTGAAGTGCTAATTCTCCACTGCAAAGCCCACACACCTTCTCAAACAGCTAAACTGAAAGATTACAGGAATAAAACCCTCCAGAGAAAGCCACACCTCATCTAATGTTGAGATATGGTACCGCAGCCTTCCAATTTTAAGTGTATTTGAAACCAGATTCTTTAAAAAAATGGGAGACCATTCTGAAAAAGCAACCAAGCAGGGGATGAGACAGGAACTAGCTTCTGATACAGCTAATGGTGCCACAGGGTCTTCGGGTCAAAACAGACTTAGGAAGCTGACCCCCAAAATGAGAGGAACATAAGGCAAACCAGCTAAGGCGGCTTGACAGAGGCTGCAGAAAGACATTCTGGAGACTGATGGTGCAACACTCCTGGAGAATAGGCCTCACCAGAGGACCCGCTTGGCCAAACGCCTGGTGCAATGGACATCTTACACAGATTGCCTCTCCGCCATTTTTGCGCAACTACACCCCAGCGATACCTGCGATGAGTGGCTGCATTCAAGCAGGTTAACGGCCAGAAGGACTCCACTTTCCATGAGGCCATGAACACTTTGGAGAAGCACATAAAGCAGTGGTGTCCAAACTTTTTTTCAAAGAGGGCGAGATTTGATGAAGTGAAGGGCCATGAGGGCTGACCAAAGGACCGAGCTTTTAGGGTTGAAGTTGTTTTTTTTTTAGGATTTTACCTCAGGAAATAAACTGCCACAGGGCCAGATTAGGCCCCCGAAACAGACTTTGGACATGCCTGGCATAAAGGAACAAGAAGCACTGCTTCTCACAGAGGCTGACAAGAGATGAACCAAAGCCGCATTCTCAAGGCAGTGGCCCAGGCTTCTCTACTGTTAAGGTCTTACTCCAGCTCCATCTCAAGTTTGTCAGTAGTCACTTCAGGACGCCACTCCTCACAGCACAAACACTCTCCTTGTTCTCGCCGCTCCTCGCTGACAGGGAGCTCTCACTCCCACTCTTACGCCAACAGATCGTCTTATCCATCCAGAGCATCACGTATGGCAGATGAAGTAACCCTCACAAAGGAGGAGGCAGCAGCTGCGGGAAAGCACGTCGAGTTTGCCAAGAAGGAAGAAGTCTTGAGGAGAGAAGCTGCGGTGCAGGAAGCTAAGCTTCGTACCTTGAAACAAGAGGCAGCAGCTGCACAGGTTGTCGCTCTCCATCACCCTCATCTTAGATCGATCACCAATCAGATTCCCATTCTGGATCCCGAGGCACCGATTCTGCTGCTACTAGGAATAAACTGCTCTGACCTGCTTTTGTGCAGTGAGCCACCTTTCACCAATGTGGGCCTCAATGTCTTCGGACCTTGGAGCGTGGTTACACACAAGACAAGGGGAGGCCAAGCTGACAGTAAGCGTTGGGCAGTTCTCTTGATGTGTTTGAGTATCCGTGCTGCCCAAATCAAGGTCCTTGAGTTCATGGGACACTTCCAGCCTCATCAATGCCCTGAGAAGATTCGTGCCCGTACGTGGGCCTATCAGACTCCTCAGGTCTGATTGTGGCACAAATTCCGTGGGTGATTTCTGCATGAAACCCTCAACATGCAAATATGTTGCATCGCCCCTTCCAGTCACTACACACCATTACCTCAAGTAAAGGGACCCCTGACCATTAGGTCCAGTCGCAGATGACTCTGGGTTGTGGCGCTCATCTTGCTTTTCTGGCCGAGGGAGCCGGCGTACAGCTTCCGGGTCATGTGGCCAGCATGACTAAGCCGCTTCTGGTGAACCAGAGCAGTGCACGGAAACGTCGTTTACCTTCCCACCGGAGCGGTACCTATTGATCTACTTGCACTTTGATGTGCTTTCGAACTGCTAGGTGGGCAGGAGCAGGGACTGAGCAACGGGAGCTCACCCCGTCGCAGGGATTCAAACCGCCAACCTTCTGATCAGCAAGCCCTAGGCTCTGTGGCTTAACCCACAGCGCCACCCGCGTCCCATACCTCAAGTTAGAGAAGATAAAGAGTCCTGCCATATCAGGCCAATGGGCCATCCTAGGTGGCACGTCCTGCTTTGCCACCTGAGGAGAAAGGAGCAGCGTCACTTTCTCCTGCCCTGTCCCTCCCACCATACCTGCTCCCACCGGCCCTGCTTGTCTGCCCACACTCCTGCAATTTCGGGAGAGACTGTGCCCGATCTGAGCAATTCCGGGTGTGATTTTAGCCGGTGCTGACGGCACTTCTACGTTGGCAGCAGGGCGCCCACGGGGCAGCCAACCTAGGGACTTCTGCTGCCTGAGGCCTCCTCCTCACTCTGCTTAATGGCAGAGCCAGCTGCGCCCGGCATCCTGTCCTCTGTGGCCAACCAGATGCCTCTGGGAAGCCCACCAGCAGAACCTGAGCACAACAGCTCTCTCCCTGCATGTGATCCCCATCAACTATCACCCAGGGCCATGCTGTCTCCAACAGTGGAGGCAGAATGCAGCCGTCATGACTAAGCTTTCAGTCGGGTCGGGAATAGCTTCCAAGGAACCACCTGACTAGGTTCAAGGTGCTGGTACCAGTGTACAAAGAAGCATTATACTGCCTGGGACCAGGATACTCAAAAGATGGTCTTGCCCTTCACATTGATCACTATACTCTGTAGGGGAGGACCTCCTTGTAGAGACCGTCTCATCAGGACTCCTCTTCGGTGAGGGCGCAACCTTTTGGAACTCCTTCCCATTGCATCTCAGACAGGCACTGTCTCTCTGTCCACTTTCTGGTGTACGCTGAAGAGCTTCCTTTCCCCACCGATCTTTCAGGTGAAGATTTTTTCTACCCGAGTCTGCGTCAGTACAGGCCTTTATCTTGCATACAGATGGACGCTTTTGCTCTTGGTGTTTTTCACAGTTACATTGCTAGATGAGTTTAAGTGCCCCGAGTTTTAAGGGTGTTGCTAATGCAAAGTCTCACCTTGGAGACTTTCTTTTTTAAACACTTCAAAAGGAGACTATAATGTGTTGCTCTCAAATGGTCTGAATGCTACTGGATCCATCCGTGCAATATCAACGCAGGGGGGAAAGGAATTACCGACTCATTTGTTTACCTCCAATCTGATTCAGCAAAAAAAAACCGAAGGAAGAAAAGAAATTATTTCCCCCCTCCTGCATTTCAATTGGGTTGGCTTTGTCGTTACAAAGCGTTATTTTGAAAGGGGGGAAATATCACAATGCACCTTGCTCTAGCTTTCTGTTCGTGGCCTTGCTCGCTTTATACCGCTTGGATTGGATTTGGCTTTTAACAGAGATTCTGGTTTTGAATTCTTGTTTGCTTCAAGCCACCTGATTATTTGGCCAAGCTGGTTCTGGGTTTGAAAACCTGGCTTGCCCAAGTCTAGCCTCTGCACTGGGGGAGGGCCGTAGCTCAGTGGCAGAACACCTGCCTGGGAAGCAGAAGCTTGTGGGTTCGATCCCCAGCATATCTGGGTAGGACTGGGAGGGTCCCCTGCCTGAAACTCTGGGCTGCCCCCTGGGGGTGAGAGTAGACCATGCTGAGCTAGATGAATCAACAGATCGCTATTCAGCAGCTTTCCCTCTTCCTCAGCACCACTACTTACCATGCCAGCTGCCATTTGGCCAAGAGCTAATTGAGATACTTAGCTAAATCTGTGCAAACCAGACTATCTCATTCCCTTCCCACAAGCGTTCTGCCTGCAGTGATGCGCCCCAGAAATCCTGCGAGAGAGAAAAGGAGCGCATTTCTTTTGCTTCACAGGTGGAGAGAGACTAGCGTGCAATTCACTTCACCCAGAAGACCGAGAAACAACTAAGCAACATTCTGTAGAAACTTAAAATTTTTGAGAACTCCTCGACTCTGCAATATGAAATGCCACTGCTCTAATTAGGTTCCGTGTTCTGTTGCCGAGCCAGGAATTCAAGGTTAGCAGAAACCCACTGAAGTCACCTTCCAATACAAAGAGTTTTGTTCTTGATAAACAAAAGCCTCACCTTCTGGGCCAGTAACTTCGGGTAGGTGAGTGAACTTCTCATTGCAGTAGTTTCCTTCACAGCAGCAGAAAAACACTTGTGGGCTCTCTTCTGTGGCCACACATTCCTGCCTATATATATAAATATATACAGCAAGACAACACAAAAGAAAATAAGATAAAAGTCAGTGGATTCTTATATTGCCCTCAGAAGAAAGGTGCACAATGAATTGTCTTTATCCTATTTAATGCCGGCTTTCTGCTGTATTTTGCCAATCCACCGAACCTTTTGTTATAAGGAGGCAGAAAGCTCGCCGCATGAGATCTCAAGAGCCCTTTACGCGCACAGGAACTTTGCAGAAGGGCGAGTTAAAACTCTTAAAGGTATAGCCTCAATATACAAGTTTCGCTCCAATATCCTTGCGCTTTGAGAACATATACATGCCCACACGTTGCTTCCCCCTTGTATTTCAAAGGAAACAGGCGGAAGGGACAAGGAAACTTTCCAGCACCACACAGAGCCACTGCAGCAATGTTATTACGAGATGAAAGGCCCGGGCTAAGCTACCTGAAAAGGCCAGCTGCCCCCATGTTTCTCCCCCAGAGGCATGTGCAGAGGGGTAAGGGACACGAGGCGGCCATGGCTGTTTAACGGCTTCTTTCATGGTGCCATTAGAACATTTCCCAAAGTTAAGACACCATGAGCAGCGGTTTGGGGGTTTGCTTGCTTTTTTAAAAACAGGTGGGACTTTGCTGGCAACGAGTCTTCTCTTTTGTGGCAGATTGCACCAAATCCACCTGTAAATGATGCCAGCAAATGCCTGCCAGCACAGCATTGCCGCAATTAAACTGCACCTGTATGAAGGCGGTTGCCGTCCTCTGCTTCAAATTAAAAAGGTAAAGGTAAAGGGAGCCCTGACCATTAGGTCCAGTCGTGACTGACTCTGGGGTTGTGGTGCTCATCTCGCTTTATTGGCTGAGGGAGCCGGCATACAGCTTCTGGGTCATGTGGCCAGCATGACTAAGCCGCTTCTGGCAAACCAGAGCAGCGCACGGAAACGCCGTTTACCTTCCCGCCGGAGCGGTACCTATTTATCTACTTGCACTTTGACATGCTTTCGAACTGCTAGGTGGGCAGGAGCAGGGACCAAGCAACGGGAGCTCACCCCGTCGCGGGCATTCGAACCGCCGACCTTCTGATCGGCAAGCCCTAGGCTCTGTGGTTTAACCCACAGCGCAACCCGCGTCCCGTTGTCCTATCTTAAGATGCTACTTAACAACACTGCACCAACTCTTCCACTTATCAATGGTTGCTTTTGGAAGTCTATAGACTAAACCCTTCAGGGAAGCAAAAATTACTTTACGATCTTTCCGAACCACAGATTTTCCTTCTTCTGCAGCAGTCTGACCTGCTTCCCCTGGTCAAGCGATGATCTGAGCCAATGTGATAAGGGAGAATGATTTGTGGCAACTGCTTCCTGTGTGATGCTATCGAGCAGTGAGCTGCAGCTTATCAGGCAGCAAGCTCTGAGCTCATTTATAAGTTATGCCCGTCGATTCATTTGCACAAATAGCTGCTCACACTTGTGGCCGATGCCTCACATAGGAATTGCAGTTGGCTCCAGGAGCTCTGTACTGATGGAAAGGGAGAACGAAGACAAGAGAACAGAAACCTTGGGTATCTACCTCAAGCTGTCTGTAACGGAAGCTACATGCCAACAAATTTCCCTGCAGTGCCCTCTGTCCTTCCAAAGAGGATTCAGTCAGTGGCTACTGATTATATTAGGCTTCCTCAAACTCAGCCCTCCAGATGTTTTTGGCCTGCATCTCCCATGATCCCTAGCTAGTGGGACCAGTGGTAAGGGATCATGGGAATTGTAGTCTCAAAATGTCCGGAGGGCCAACTTTGAGGAAGCCTGGATTATATGGACCATAGCATAGTGGCAAAGTATCCGACTTGAACGCAGAAGGTCCCGGGATCAATCCCTGACTATTCTTTTATTTATTTAATTAAATAATAACGTGTGCAGAGGCAGGCGACCAAGATGATCAAAGTTCTGGAAACCAAACCGTATGAGGAACGGTTGAAGGAGCTGGGTATATTTAGCATGGAAAAGAGGAGACCGAGAGGGAGATATGGTAAAAAAGGTAAAGGTACCCCTGCCCGTACGGGCCAGTCTTGACAGACTCTAGGGTTGTGCGCCCATCTCACTCAAGAGGCCAGGGGCCAGCGCTGTCCGGAGACACTTCCGGGTCACGTGGCCAGCGTGACATCGCTGCTCTGGCGAGCCAGAGCCACACACGGAAACGCCGTTTACCTTCCCGCTAGTAAGTGGTCCCTATTTATCTACTTGCACCCGGGGGTGCTTTCGAACTGCTAGGTTGGCAGGTGCTGGGACCGAACAACGGGAGCGCACCCCACCGCGGGGATTCGAACCGCCGACCTTTCGATCGGCAAGCCCTAGGCGCTGAGGCTTTTACCCACAGTGCCACCCGCGTCCCAAGATATGGTAGCCATCTTCAAATATCTGACGGGCTGTCACACGAAGGATGGAGCAAGCTTGTTTTCTCCTGCTCTGGAGGCAGGAGAACCGATGGCTTCCGAACCAACGGCTTCAAGTTACAAGAAAGGAGATTTTGACTAAACGTCAGGAAGAACTTTCTGACCGCAAGAGCTGTTTGACGGTGGAACGGTCCTCCCTTGGGAGGTGGTGAACTCTCCTTCCTTGGAGGTTTTTAAGCAGAAGATGGATGGCCATCTGCCATGGATAATTTAGTTGGGATTCCTGCATTGCAGTTGGGTAGGATAAACAAGCTTTGGGGGTCCCTTTCAACTCTACGATCCTATCATCATTAAATGTCCATCCCACCTATCTTCCTCCCATTCTCATTGTCCACCTTTTCCTCAGGGCTCAGTCTGCGCCACTTCCCAAACTCAGGGTAGCTCAGTGGCAGATAATCTGCTTTGCAACCAGGAGGTTCACAGGTTCGATTCCCAGCACCTCCAGGTAGGGCTGGGAAAAAGATTCCCTGCCCAAAACCCTGAGAAACTGCTACCAGTCAGTGTAGACAGTACTAAGCTAGATAGGCCAATGTTTTGACTGACCTACAGTGTGTTGGGCTGCTTCATGGCTCCTAGAAATTGTTTCTCTTCTATTAGTTATAGTCCTCCACTTTCAGTTATTGTTAGAAGCATACCCTAATACAATACTGGCCAGGGAAGCCCTCAATACATTTCAGACGTCTTCCAAAGCCTTTGGCTGACAGTAAGCAAAAACTTGAGTAATCAAGGGATAAGGGACAAGATACAATGCCTGTGTATGTGTGAACAGGTGTGCTGGGAAGGCAGAATGAAAACAGCCGCTCTAAAAGCAGGGCCATTATCACCCTGGCTAAGTGTGCTTTTCTGCTCCAGTAGGCAGCTCCGAATGACTAAGTTCTCCTTTTCTGCAGCACGTGGCTCTCGGAAGAACACGCTGCTCTCCACGTAATTGTACAGAACATTTCTCAGGGCACGCCAGAAATTATCGAGCATTTACTGTGTGAAAACACCCAGAAGCTCCTTAGCTTCCTGGATTTCACAACTGCGAGGAAAAGCAGGCCTTTAACGTTTGCTCTTATATGTAGATACACCAAATTAAAGGAGTTGAAGAGATGGGATTTAACAGGCCTGCAGTCATGTATAATAAAACTGCTCCTTGTTGCTGAAAAGATGGGAGTATTCCTTCCTTCCTCTATCACAACCCTTTCTGGTCCCCAGTCTCCAGGTGTTTTGCGAACTTTCTGCTGGTTTTCAGGCATGGGATAATTTGATGGGGCAGGCTAGTAAACTAATTGCAGCTACTTTAGTATAAGGCTCCCCGGTTACGTGGCAAATTGGGCTTTTTGAGCACTTGTGCTTCAAAGGGCGGGGAGAGGCCAGTAAACAGGAAGTGATGTCATAAAGCAGCGCCGGATTTAAGGCGATGCGGGCGGTTTCCCTGCACAGGGTGCCGAGCTGAAGGGACGCAAAATAATAGTCAATAGAAATTATTGCAAAAATGAGAAATATCTAAGGGGATGGACCAAATTTTGTCCTTGCTCAAGGCTTGTTAGCAAAGTACGCCCCTGTATAGAGGGGAGGAGTTTGGGTCATTTATTAAGAGGGATAAGGAAACCGTGACTCTTTCAGACTTGCTTGACTACAACTCCCATGATCCCTGCCCACTGGCCATGCTGCATAGGGCTGATGGGAGTTGGAGTCCAGCAACATCTGGAGGCTTGCATGTTCTCCCTGCCCCCCCCCATTCTCATGGGATTCCTTTTAGAGGAGGGTACGCCACGCAGGAGTGGCAACAATAGATGCTGGCGTTAGATTACTCGCCGTCATCATAATTTATTCCCATTTATAGAAGCAATTCATATACTAGGTGCGCTACACGAATAAAAAACCCACCTATCGCAGCAATCCATAAATTAAAGGCGGCCAAGAAATACGCAGCAGCGCAAAGCTTGAGATGGGGGGGGGAATAATGGCAGGAGGTGTGGGGAAAATATAGGACATTATACTGGTCAAAAGATGAGAAGCAAAGAGCCATCTCACCACCAGACCCTACGAGACTGGGAAGAGGAAGGGAAGTCTAAGAGTGGTAATGCAAACTGGAGGAATTTCTGGTTTCTGTAGGAGCAGGAGGAGAAAAAGACTCAGAGAGGGAGTTCGTGTAGCATGGCTGATCTGCTAACTGCCGAACAGCAATTTAGAAGGCTGAGCAAGGCAAAGAAATGACAAGGAACATAAACTAAATTAGGAAGATTTTTTAAAAAAGGGACGTGCAGGAGGGGGTTGAGAGCAACATCGCCGGCTAACAGATGCAATGCAGAAATAGGAAATGAATGAATTGCAGGAAAAAGCAGGGCGGGGGAAGAGAACGCTTAAGCCCTAGGAAGATAAGAGAAACTGCAGGAACAGAGGGAACTACCTTATACAGAGTTAGACCAATGGTCCATCGAGCTCGCTATTGCCTACACGGACTGGCAGAGGCTCTGCCAGGTTTCAGGCAGAGGACATTCCCAGCCTTACCTGGAGAAGCCGGGGACTGAACCTGGCACCTTCTGCTTGCAAAGCGGGTGACCAACCACTCAGCCACAGCTCTTCCTCAGATGTCAGCAGGAACAGGCTGAGACTACAACCCTAAACACTCTTATCTAGGAATGATTCTTGTTAAAGTCATTGTGGCTTATTTCTGAGTGGACACGTATAGCTGTAGTCTCCAGCTGAGATGGGGTTTGTGTGTGTATTTGGAAATTAACTAACTGTGAATGTAATGAACGGAATTGTCAAGTTGCAGTTAATATAGTAAGAATTGTAGATGTCAGCTGGCTGGTATTTTTTTGTTTGTCTTTTGTTCTTTAAATTATTAGCAAATAAAAAAGTATTTTAAAAGATTTTTTCTTTTCTTTTGAAAACCAGCCCATTTCAATGGATACTACCAGGGCTTTTTTTTCTCGCCAGAACTCAGTGCTGGCACCTCTCAGGTGGGCGCCATTGCCATTATAAGAGAACAAGGGAGGTGTTCGTGTTGAGTTCCAGCACCTCTTTTTCTAGAAAAATAAGGCCCGTATAGTTAAAGCTATGGTTTTCCCAGTGGTGATGTATGGAAGTGAGAGCTGGACCATAAAGAAGGCTGATCGCCAAAAAATTGATGCTTTTGAATTATGGTGCTGGAGGAGACTCTTGAGAGTCCCATGGACTGCAAGAAGATCAAACCTCTCCATTCTGAAGGAAATCAGCCCTGAGTGCTCACTGGAAGGACAGATCCTGAAGCTGAGGCTCCAATACTTTGGCCACCTCATGAGAAGAGAAGACTCCCTGGAAAAGACCCTGATGTTGGGAAAGATGGAGGGCACATGGAGAAGGGGACGACAGAGGACGAGATGGCTGGACAGTGTTTTCGAAGCTACCAACATGAGTTTGACCAAACTGCGGGAGGCAGTGGAAGACAGGAGTGCCTGGCGTGCTCTGGTCCATGGGGTCACAAAGAGTCGGACACGCCTAAACGACAACAGCACTGGATAAAAAAGTGTTTCAGCCACTCTGAAAACTCAAGTGGTTGTGTAGGGTGGGTGGCAAAATTTGCATTCATTGCCCCGCCCCCTTTTGCCTCTGGCCCCGCCCAGTGCTGACACGTGGCCCTGCAGATGAAAAGAGGGAGGAGCTTCCCCAACCTGGGCATGGGGCTTCCAGCTGCTATAAACAAAGCTCCCAGCCTGAGCGACTTCATGGCTGAAGCTCCAAGCTCCATGGACTGGAGGGCAAGGGCGCACATGTAAGGAGGAGCGAGGAGTATGCTGCTGCTCCCTGGTTCTGCCTGTGTCCTCTCACCTGTCGTAGCAGTTGAAGTCGTCAAGCCAGCACCCTTTCTTCACCAGTTCGATGGAGCCAGAGTTGTTTCTCCAGGATGCGTAGCAATGGAGGCGTTTGTCCTTCTCCCCTTCACAGCGCTCCACCCCGCTCTGGTTGGTCTTTTCCAGCTCCCAGTTGGCATTGTAATAGATGCATTCCCGGGTCTCGGCCTCACCATGGCCTGGCCCTGCAGGGCAGAATAATAATAGTAATAAATAATAAATTTTTATTTATACCCTGCCCTTCCCAGTTCAGGAAACCGGGCTCAGGGCGGCTAACAACAAATTTAAAACACTTAATTGATGCTACCAAAAAAAAAAGAGCATAAAATACGGTATAAAATGTAAATAACAATAAAGTCGAAAATCAATTTAGGGAGAAAATCCATCCAATAAACATTAGATGATCACCAGGGCTAGCTGGCTAAATTAGTCCCACTTGGGCCAGTGAGGAGACCAGGGGAGAACCAGCTGTGGGACCTCAGAGCGGGCAATCTTCACAAAAAGGGGAGGGGGAGGGAAGGAAGGAAGGGGAACAAAAGATCAGGCCAGGTTCAAATTGAAAGCCAGGTGGAATAGCTCTGTCTTACAGGCCCTGCGGAACGGAGTTAAATCCTGTAGGGCCCTGGTCTCATGGGACAGAGCATTCCACCAGGTCGGAGCCATCACTGAGAAGGCCCTGGCCCTGGTGGAGGATAATCTAACTTGCTTAGGGCCCGGGACCTCAAAACTATGATTATTCATGGACCTTAAGAAGCAAAATGGACGTTGTTTAATGACAACAGTGCCCGGGTATGTGCCATCACTACCACATGCTTAGCAAGAGGGACAAGACAGCCGTACCAGCACGCTAAAGTTCGCTTCATCTGATGCATCATTTTTTGTAATCCTTGAACACTTACGGAATAATGCATTTTCTACAGTGCCGCTTCGCTATTGTTTCAGCTCTGCTATAAGCCATGGCTAGTTGGCTGCCCCTTGGATTGCAAGGATACCAGAGCATCGTACCCAACACCACACAAGGAGCCAGTGACAGAGAGGATGTTTAAGTTATTCCTCCAGGTCAGGCATATGCAAATTTGGCCCTCCAGATGTTGGGGACTACAATTCCCATCATCCCTAGCTAACAGGACCAGTGGTAAGGGATGATGGGAATTGTAGTCCCAAACATCTGGAGTGCCGGAGTTTGCCTATGTCTGCTCCAGGTCCTCTGGCGTGCTAGGTTTTTTTAAAAAAAGCATGAAGGCTTGCCAATTGGCTTACTGAGAAGGAAAATGTACATGCAATATTCTGCCCAACCAAAGTGTGATGAAGCCTAAGGGGTTTAACTATTGGCACCACCAACTCCTCCCCACCTTCCACAGCTTCCTACTACAGAGGAAACATGATGAGGCGCTATAAGTTTCAGAAATAAATAGCACGAGCCTTTTCCGTATGTATTTAATAAGGTGCCCTTTGTACAAACTGCACATACTACGTTCACCACAACAGAAGATCCTGCTGGCCAGCAGTTTCACAGCAGCCAAACAAACATACACACTGCGTTGCTTTTTCAATCTGAAGAAAAACAGGGATGCAAAACCTCAACACTTATCTCAAACCTAGAAACACGCACAAACCTTACAGTTCCAACAACGCGCAAATGTTGAAAGCTGCAGCGCGCACACAGAGGCCACCCACCATTTCTCCTCCTTTGTTCACAAAAAAACAACTGCAAATGATTAAACAAAAAGTAGGTAGTATAGAAATACGCATACTCCACCACTGCTCTTTCTTACCACTAATATTAAATTAAAAGCCAAGGTGCTCAAATTAGGGATTGCATCGTTTTCCAGGCTAGCTACAAAGAATGCACTTTGTTGAGGATTGGCTGAGTGCTGCAGAGACCCAATTGACAAAAATGTTTGCAGAGCTTATCCAATTTCAAATAGATGCGGGTCAAGAAAGAGTGTGTGGCTTTGAAATTCCTGGGTTGTTGTTTTTTAATTGCTTGACATTCTCCTTGGGAGGGCTGTTCCCATCGTGATTTCTAAAGAAAAGTTTAATATAGCAACATTCAAACCATCTAGCGAACCCATGTTGCCAAATCCCGATTCAAAACCGTAATAGGAAACTGCATATTTATGATGCAAGTTCAATGGGGCTGTAATATTCCCTGGCAAACGCTATCCATTATGCTGTTTGCAGCTGTGCTATTTTGGGGGATATACAGCAGCAACTACAGCTTCCTTAATCAAGACATCTGGCAACCGTGGTATTATCCCACTTTGTCCTTCAGTCAAAGGGAGAGGCCACCCTGCTGTCAGATGTTCAGGAGTCGGGGTATCAGGCCAAAGCTCCAGTGTGCTTGGGAAGCCATGCAGAAGACTGCTGGAGATTTAGGAGCAGAGAATGCTACCTTCTACTGAGTGAGACCAATGTGCATCTAAGCTCAGTATTCTATGCTGACTAACAGTGGCTCTCCAGGGTTTTCAAGGCAGATAATATAGGTGCCTGGAATTGACCCTGAGACCTTCTGCATGCAAATGCAGGCAAAATGCAGGCAAGATACTCTGCCACTGAAATGCAAGCTTTAAAAATGTGTTCAATGGCAGAAAAAAGCTGCGGCAGGGTCAGAAACCACAGGCAATGCTTCACCACCCCTTCAGTCAATACAGCAGCCTGCCCCTCCACCCCCCATCATGGGGAAATCCTTTTCTCTGAGTCGGAGGGTGTTCATTAGATCTATATATAAACCTGAGCTAAAATTCAGAATCCTGAGCCACGAAACCCCAAGTGTGCTGTCAAGGGAGGCAGAACCCTGCAGCCCGTGAAAACTACACAAATTTGCATCTATCTCCTCGCCTTGCATTATTTATTCTCTTGCAGCTCATCATAGGGAAAGTAGAGAGAGCTTTCCAAGGTGCTAATGTACCGTTCCAGCCCTCTGACAACCTTCCTGTTTTCTGCATTTTTCCAAGGCACAGCCTACACCCAGGGCTGGCATAAAGAAGATCAGGATCTTTTTTGTAAATCAGCTGAGTAGTCTATAACTCCCAATTTTGGAATGCCAGCAACAACAGCAAGGAGAAAGCTTTGGTCTCACACACTTAACTTGCCTGATCCATAAGCAAGTTGTATTATCTCTGAGCCTCGGTGTTCACAAACCGTAAAACAAGACCTTTCAACTGAGACTACGGACACAAATTTGCTATTGCTAAAACTGGCTGACCATCATAGTTTCTGCTTCCCCAGCCCCTCTGTCTCGCAGGAACTCAGATGCAAGCTTGTAGCTATGTATTCAGTTAACCCTGGCATATGCTCATGGTTTGCAGTAGCAAAAGCTGGCCATGAGGAAGTGACGGGTGAAGGCACCAGCTGGTGTCTGAAAGGTGCAGCAAGACTTTTTTTTTTTTTTAATAAGCTGGCCCTATCGGAAGCACGAGGGACGCGGGTGGCGCTGTGGGTAAAAGCCTCAGCGCCTAGGGCTTGCCGATCGAAAGGTCGGCGGTTCGAATCCCCGCGGTGGGGTGCGCTCCCGTTGCTCGGTCCCAGCGCCTGCCAACCTAGCAGTTCAAAAGCACCCCCGCGTGCAAGTAGATAAATAGGGACCGCTTACTAGCGGGAAGGTAAACGGCGTTCCGTGTGCTGCGCTGGCTCGCCAGATGCAGCTTGTCATGCTGGCCACGTGACCCGGAAGTGTCTCCGGACAGCGCTGGCCCCCGGCCTCTTGAGTGAGATGGGCGCACAACCCTAGAGTCTGGCAAGACTGGCCTGTACGGGCAGGGGTACCTTTACCTTTTACTATCGGAAGCACAGCGCCGTTTGGGCTCTGCGTCAGGATGCACAATGTCCTGGGCCAGCACCGGTAGCAGGGAAATGGCTCCAGGGTTGTGGGTTCAGACCCCACATTGGGCAAAAGATTCCTGCATTGCAAAGGGGTTGGACTAGATGACCCTCGTGGTCCCTCCACCAACCTGACAATTCTGTGATACTATCGCCATGTCAGCATGAGCAAGGATGCCATCAGCATCCTACCCAAAAATAGTACAAAAGGTTTTTTTACAAAGGAAACGATATCTTTGCTGTTGTCAAGAGTCTCCTCTTTCTTTGTATGCTGCTATTTCACGAAACACACAATTAACTGGGATTTATTTATTTACTTGCATATCCAAGGTTTTAACACGCTTTCTTTCAGAAAGGGTGCACCTCTCAGAAAACGGTTAAGGAGAATTATCTTTTAATCGTTTTGTGCCTTAAGCTCCCGCACACAGGGTGGTTTTGTGGCAAGCTTTCCCCTCTATAGCAAAACTCCTTTCTCCCTCCCCTTTTCAGCTTCATTCATTCATTCATTTTATATACCGCCCTATACCCAGAGGTCTCAGGGCGCTTCACAGAACAAAATCAAAATATAAAACCACAAAATATATAATCAAAATAAAAAAACAACCCAACCCCCCCCAAAAAACCCCCACATTTTAAAAGGGCATAGAATGAGATAAAAGCAACTGGAGACAAGGAAATTATTCAAAAGGAATAAGGCCTTTATTACATTTCTTTTTCCCAAGCTGCTAATAAAAGGCAGGCCTTGAGATGCAGAGAATGTGTTTAAAAGGACACATTATGACTAGCTCACACTGGTGGGAGGATGAAGTGAAGATTCTATTTCTCTGAACAATCTCAAGACTTTTTTTATTAAAAGGGCTTGCTGCTTCTTTTTTTACAAAGTATTCCCAACCACCACCAAAACAACAAAGGATTTAGGATACTGTATTCAGTTGCTGGAGGGACGCGGGTGGCGCTGTGGGTAAAAGCCTCAGCGCCTAGGGCTTGCCGATCGAAAGGTTGGCGGTTCGAATCCCCGCGGCGGGGTGCGCTCCCGTTGCTCGGTCCCAGCGCCTGCCAACCTAGCAGTTCGAAAGCACCCCCGGGTGCAAGTAGATAAATAGGGACCGCTTACCGGCGGGAAGGTAAACGGCGTTTCTGTGTGCGGCTCTGGCTCGCCAGATGCAGCTTTGTCACGCTGGCCACGTGACCCGGAAGTGTCTCCGGACAGCGCTGGCCCCCGGCCTCTTGAGTGAGATGGGCGCACAACCCTAGAGTCTGTCAAGACTGGCCCGTACGGGCAGGGGTACCTTTACCTTTACCTTTTATTCCGTTGCTGAACATGGCTTAAGCCAAGAAAGAGAGACCATCAAGTGAGGAGTGA